GCCGATCGGATCTGGACATCGGGCTGTTTAGCAACAAAAAGACTCATCCTACTAAACTGGAAGGAACGCAAACCAGCCTGCTTTACTAGGGACTCATGGCTGAGGGAGTATCTGGACCTACTGAACATGGAGCGTGCAGCTTCTCTGCTGGGGGATTTTGAGGGTAGACAGGAGGATTGTGGTTCACTGTCCGCAGCTCTCCTATCTGACCCTGTCAATATGGCATCTTCTATCAATATGGCATCTCCTGTATAATGTATTGTGTATGAAATGTCCTGTGTATGTCACAATCAGCTGTCTTAGGAAGTCATCCTTGCATTCCCCCCACCCCCCTCCATTACGTTTTGTTTAGTTGTTTGTTGTTACATGTTTTGTTGTATGTTCTGTAAAAAAAAAGTTACAAAATAAATAAAGAACACAGAATTATTACATATAAAACACCGAATTTGTGTTATTATACTAAATGGTTTCCAAATAAACACCACTGCATATTTACAACTGTTACACATGCTGATGTAAAGCAAATGTTTCCAACTTAGGATCAATAAAGTAGATCTTATCTCTTTCGACTCCACTTTGAGCGATATAATTACTAACAAAGCACTTGTATACTAATAAAGGGCTGGCTTATCTAAAGCCAGTTGAGTAGCACTTGAAATGTTTTTGCTCTATGAAGCCTGATGTACTTATATGATTCTGTTTTCTTCAAGTTTGTATCTTGTTGGTCGAACGCACTTATTGTAAGTCGCTTTGGATAAAAGCGTCAGCTAAATGCAATGTAATGTAAGATGATCGATGGCTAAGCCATATTTGCCTCTGAACCTTGACAAGTGCATGTTTCAGGCTTATCAATCAATGAACAACATGAGGGGTCACAGACATAAGACCAGCTGTTAAATAAAGCTCGTCTGACCTTAGCTGTCATGTGGGTATATATATTAATGCTGCCCATTATGGACACAAGCCATTTTCACCCATTTATTAATTACATGTTTTAAATTTGAGTGTTTCCTATCCCCTAATCCTCCAGGGATGTACACAGTTTAATACTGGCAACTTCTTATTATGGGAAATACGAAAACGTCTTTTAAAACTACAATTCCCAGTAGAGACATGCCATAGAGAACATGTTGCAAAACACACAATAGCCAGCATGTGTAGTTCTGGGGACGGGGTGGGGGAGGGGGGACGGGTCAACATGTGACAGGTTGGGAGTGAGAACGTGTTGATTAGAAAAGAGGTAAGATAAAGGATCTGCAGTATTTTATGAAGTATTCATCGTACAAAGGTCAGTTTTATACAAGTAGAAGTGTGTATTTACCTGGTAGGAGGCTGTCAGTAATGGCTACGCCTCTCTATTTGGACTGGTAGATCTCGGCAGACTGGCAACTTTAAAAGTAGCTCTCGGTTCAAAAAAGGTTGGGCACCCCTGGTCTAAGGACAGAGGGTCTAAGGACAGAGGGTCTAAGGACAGAGGGTGTCGTATTGTCATACTGATATTCTGTACAAACTGTGAAGTCCACTGAAACAAATGTAACATTTGTGATATTGGGCTATATAAATAAACATTGATTGATTGATTGAGACGTGATGTGTGACAATTTATTAGATCTGGTAAAAGGACAACAGAGGATAAACAATACATGCAGTCACAGTGTGCCACCATCCATTCTGAAGAACAGCCGTTCTCTCTTGATTTTTACCCCAAACAGGGCAAGCAGTAACTTCTTTAAACAGATGAGTACGGTGGGCAATATGTGCAAATGTGCTACAATGACCCAAAACACTTCTATTTGAAAAAGTGCTGCAGCTTAAGAAACAACGCAGTAATAAAAACTTGACGACACATGCATGGGCACAACGTTTTATTGTCTTATTTGTTCAATAGGAGATCATTCCTTCCAATATAATAGCAAATCTGCTGTAAACTAGATAGCTAACCTATGAATCCTAAATAGTGGTTTAAGTAACAAAGTAGATTTACTCAAGAACTTAAGTACAATTTTGAGGTACTTGTGTAACCGTTGTCGTTAAGCGGTCTCCGTGTTGTGTTTTGTGTTGTTCATGGACGAGACCCGAGCCAGCATACAGTTTAGACGATCTCCGTTTAATCACTGACAACAGATATAACAATCAATATATTAGCTTTCCCTCACAGTGACTCCTTTCACGTGGAACATTTACAGAAAGGGGCGAGGAAACGTGAGGGACACAATATCAAGGGGGAAGTCCCCATAAAAACAATCCTCTGAGCACAGCGACCACACTTCAGAGGTTCTGCCCACTGATCTCCGACCTTGTCAGGTATTGAACATTCATAAAATGAAGAACACAGAATTACTTAATATAAAACACAGAATGTGTGTGATTACACACAAAATGATTTACAAATAAACCTCACTGCATATTTACAACTGTTACACTTGTACTTTACTTCAGTATTTCCATTTCATGCTCCTTTGTACTTCTACCTCACTACAATTCAGAGGTAAATGTTGTACTTTTACTCCATTCCATACCTTAAGTTACTTTGCAGATTTGGATGAATGATGTGAAATATAATCAACTCTTAAATCAGTTAGTTACACCAAATATATAGTAATAGTATACAATGACATTACAACTAGCTGCACCTTTACCAGCTTTGATAACACTTTAATGATCAATCATTATAAAACATATCATATATATTATTCTGAAATGGACCAATCTGCATAATGACTACTTTTACTGTCGCTACTTTAAGTATATTTTTATGCTAACACTTTTGGACTTGTACTTAAGTTACATTTTGGACTTTTACTTGTGTATTTCTTTACTCTGGCACTCAAATACAAGATCTGAGAAGTACACCCACCTCTTGATACATAAGCAGAGTTGTGCAGCTCTATTTATTGACCTTTCAAAAGCGTTTGACACCGTCGATCATCACATTTTAAAACAGAGGCTACTCAGTATAGGCATGTCCAGCCATGCAGTGGGGTGGTTTGTGAACTACCTCTCTGAAAGGTCCCAATGTGTTCATTTTGATGGGCTGTCTTCTGAGTGGTTGAACATTGCAAATGGTGTTCCCCAAGGTTCTGTTTTAGGTCCACTTTTATTCTCCATATATATCAACAGTTTAGGTGAAAATGTGGATGAAGCTACTTTACATTTTTATGCGGATGATACCGTGATGTACTGTGCAGGTCCCTCCATTAAGGAGGCTGGTGTGAAATTACAGGCTGTTTTTAACATTATTCAGACTCAGCTCGCTGAACTTAAGCTTCTTTTAAATGTTGGGAAAACCAAGGTAATGCTCTTTTCTAAAGCTAAAAAGACACCAGAGCCTGTTTTAGATATTGTAACTACGCAAGGAATAACACTTGAAGTGGTTACCTGTTACAAATACCTTGGTATCTGGCTTGATGATTGTCTCACTTTTAAACTTCATGTCAATAACCTGCTTAAAAAGCTGAGGGTTAGGCTAGGTTTCTTCTACAGGAACAAGTCCTGTTTCTCGCTTGAGGCCAGGAAAAGGCTAGTCACTGTGACCTTTTTACCTGTGCTGGACTATGGTGATCTGATGTATATGAATGCACCTGCTAATTGCCTGGTCAAGTTAGATGCTGCGTATCACAGTGCCCTGAGATTTGTTACTAACTATAAAGCATTAACCCATCACTGTACCCTGTATGCAAGGGCTGGTTTATTTTCACTAACTGTAGGGAGGCTCAGTCACTGGTACATTTTTATATACAAAGCCATGTTAGGGAAACTTCCATCTTATATCTGCTCCCTGATCTCACGGTGAAGTGTAAGTGGCTACTGCCTGAGATCGAATGCTGTGGTTTTATTAAATGAGCCAACTGCTAGGACTGTCTTAGGGAAGACAGCTTTTAGATGCGCAGCTCCTCTGTCTTGGAATAGTCTGCAAATTAAATGGAAACTGAACAATCTGGTGCCACTAAATGTTTTTAAAGCTCGGTTGGATGCTAGTCAATCGGAAGCTATTGGTACCTGTTTATGTGGATAATTATGTAAATGATGCTGTATGATGTCCTTTTGTTGTTCTATTCTCGAACTACTTGAGCAGGTCTCCCTTGAAAAAGAGATCAATGATCTCAATGGGATTTATCTGTATAAATAAAGGTTTGAAATGAAATGACATATTCAAGGGAACAAAATGTAAAGGGAAATAACGAGGGGGAACTTAAACTGAAGGAAAACTGTAGCCTATGTATTTTGAACATAATAGATTATGATCAGTACTCAAAATAAATTATAGCTTTACCAATAATAAGTAAATATGATTGATTACATTCCGCTGTTTAATAACTATTACCAAAAGTGTGTCAAATCTGTCTTTTTTCAACCACTAGATGGCAGCAAATGTATTGACTGTGATATTCAGTAGCCTACATATTTAGAAGAAAGATTAAGATGAACGCTCGCGGTTTACCCAGAATATATGTTATTATTGTTGGTACAAATGCATAACATGCATGTCAATATATAATACCAGATTGGATGATGATGCTTTACGATTTAGAGACAAGGTACATTTATTAGAATGGCCCCAATATGTACATTTTAGATATGAATAGACATCAGGACAAAATATGACCATAAAAACAAGGCAATAATGTATTTTAAGTACAAATGTAATTAGAAGAATAAAATGTCATACAAAAAACTTAAATTAATTTGATTAAAAATTGACGAAATAGTAAAAGTAGTGGCAACAAAATGGCTTTATTAGAGGGAAATCAGTATTGGGGCATAATATCATATACAAATAAAATGTAAGCTGCTTTTGCAAATTGAGTAGGCCTACATTCATCTTGAAGATGTTATTTACAGAGCAGTGGTAAATGTGCATCAGCTGTCTAGATGATTTCAAGATTTCAAGGGGGTGGAGAGCTCCAGTCACCATCATCGCGTCTCTGGGTGGAGGCTCCGTCCTCCCGATAGTCCGGCCTGCTGGGGACCGAGAGGCTCCCCCCCGGTGTGAGGCTGAGGGATAGCCTATATAAAGCCCCGTGTGTCAGCAGCCTTATCACTCTCTGTGACCCGCAGACTGACGCAGATTAATCGGTGTGTGTGTGTGTGTTATCAGGAGCAGCAGCCATGTCTCACGGATGGGGATACGGAGCGAATAACGGTGAGCTCAGTATGGTGGGATGTTCAGGAGTAACAGGTGGACACTGTCCTACACTCTGTGTGCAGTGTGCAGTCAGTGCAGACCACTCTTCATTAATAATTACATAACTTAAATTATTACAAAGTGGTGTACAAAGTGTTCAGATCATTTAGGTAAAAGTAAAAATACTAGACCTCCTGGAAAAAAGACTCCATACAAGTAAAAGTAGCCTACTGCATTGAGAATACTGCTTAAGTAAAAGTATTAAGGTATGAATAGGGAAATGTAGTTAACGTTTTAGGATGAAAAGTGCTCAAATTTATTCAGATACAATTCTCAACTATTAAAATATTTCCAAAATAAAAGCAGCAAATCTTCACTTTTGAGAAACTGAAACGTTGTGAAATGTTTCTTAACTAAAAACTATTTGCAATATGACTGCTGATACATTTTTCGTCAACCCACTCATTGGTAATGTTTTGAATCAATATTGAAGCATAATTTCCTAAGATTCTAAGTGTTGTGTGTAAAACTCTGAACTTCTAAAGTACATAGTAACTAAAAACGTAAGAAAAAGAAACTAACTAAGTAAAAAGCGTTTCCCTTTGAAGTGTAGTGAAGTAGAAACATGAAGTTGCACAAAAACAAAATACTCAAGTAAAGTACCTCAAATGTGTATAGTACAGTACTTGAGTAAATATACTTATTTACTCTCCACCACTTTTATTACATAAGCCTACTTCAGTAATCAGGACAGGGTTGTGTGTTAACTTTAATATTGTATGTACTTACTGGGAAAAAAAGCAAACATTTTATATTTTATGATTTTTGTTATTTGATTATATATTCATAACTTTTCAGAATCTGCTGGGCAGTTATTAATGTAGGTTTTGCAAAACAAACTTTTGCAAAACTTTTAAAAAGTGGACTTTCCACCTCACAGAATTACCAGCACATTCATTCTTTAACATTAACTTAATTGTTTGTTTATTTGAATGATAACAAAACATATTTAAATGGGGAACTTTTACTTTTATGAAATTATGTAATGTTTTATTCAGATATTGTTTTATTCACCTTATAAGCATCAGATGAAGGACAATATACTTGCTACTATATATACGATGATAACAGTAAGGTGCATTTATTGTATAACTTAGTGACACAGCAGTGTTTAAATGCTGCTTAAATTGCAATTTAGTAGTAAGAAACAGTTAGTAATTAGCCTTCTGCAAGTAAATACCCCTGATGATTTTACGTTATGAGTAATTTTGCACTGCTGTTATTTTATTGAAATGTTCCTAATATCACACAGCAGCTGAGTTCACTTGAAAATAATATTGAATATGTAACTTATTATTTTCAATTAATATCTGAATATGTATGTCTGCACTAAAAAACAAAGACAAGACGCCAACAGAAGAAGTATTTTCTTTGCCACGTATGTACTCACTTTAAAGAAGCTGGAGCAAAAGTTCTCCACACATTAACATGAGGTATTAAATGTTTAAATATATATTTGTAGGGCCTGAAAAATGGGGTGAAGATTTCCCTGTGGCTAACGGGCCCAGACAGTCTCCCATCAACATCGTCCCTAAGGAGGCCCAGTACGACTCCACTCTGAAGTCTCTGAAACTCAAGTACGACCCCTCCAACGCCAATGGCATTCTCAACAACGGACACTCCTTCCAGGTGGACTACGAGGACGACGCCAACAGTTCCAGTAAGTTCCACCGCTCAGCTTTCAGTGTTAGGACACTAAGCCACAGAAATATAGTTATGTATATGCATTTTAAATGTAAAACATCTATAATCTTAATTGTCCTTGTTTTTCGTGTGTTGTAAAGCTGCTGGCAAAACTAGATTTCTGCTGCAAAATAAATCATATATTAAAATATGATATTGTATTGTATAGTATAGTATTATATAGTAGCTATAGACTGCGGCGGTGGTAATATATATTTGTTTTCCGACCCAAAAGTTAGCATCACAAGGACTCCCTCAACAAAAAGCAATGAGATATTTCCAAATACTTTGTAATATTGCAGAATAATTATTCAGCATTATAATCCCTGCGTATTAACACCACCTTATGATTATTGAAGCTAATGTTAGGCTATAAAGGAACTTCACGGTCACATGCAGGCCCACCCATTCCTACACGCAAATCAAGCAGACTGCGTGGGGCCTCACTTCGCGGAGGGGGCCTCACTTCGCGGAGGGGGCCTCACTTCGCGGAGGGGGCCTCACTTCGCGGAGGGGGCCTCACTTCGCGGAGGGACCCAGGTATGTTGGTTCTAAAAACATTCTAAAAATATTTTGTGATGACCTTCTTCAAATGTTTTTGATAACATTGTTCGATCATTATGCCCTACTGTTCTTAAAACGTTTTCAACTGCAAGTTAGATTTGTTTATGTTGTCAGAATGTTATTATTTTAGAGAACGATAACGTGCTTTATCGTTCCGATTTATCAGAAATCTTTCTTTTTTTTTAAATGCGACCAGCAGCTAGTACAAGTCACTGTCGGTGTCACATGTATTGGAGGGGACCCAGAATCAGCCTCGGAATCAGCTGGTGAAAGTAACATTTGTTTATTAGAAAAGGGGAGCTGGGAGTGGAGGTTGGTTATGGCGGCAGTGGGAAACAGTTGTTGTTGTTGTTGGTGGATAGGCCTGGCTGGTCTTGGGAGTGTGGAAGGCATTGGATTCCTCCTGGGAGAGACATAAAAATGAGTGTGAGGCAAAAGCAGGCAAATTTGTCAAAGAATATGCTGGTAAAAAGCTAGAGCGGCACACAACAAACCGTTCACGGCAACAATCCGGCAGGGAATGAGTGCAGGCTGCAGGCTTTCATAGTGTGGCTGATGAGCAGGTTGCAGGCGTGGTTGATTGGAGATTGCTCCCTGCCGTGTAGAGCAGACCAGCAGGCAGGGGGGGGGGGGGGGGGGGCAGTGACAGTCGGTCCGTTCTTCTATATATCTGTCGGTCTCAATTTATCCAATATGCATAAACAGCGGACACTGTTTACTGTAGACACAGCCCTCACAAACCACACACGGCCAGATAGCTTATCCAACAGTTAGAACTTACATACGAGAAACAAGTCAGAAAAAAAAGTGTGATTATTTTCTGATATTTTACACATATGATATTATGAATACTGTGGGTCTACATACCTTAGTGTGATTATAAGTGCATGTGAGTGAATATTGGCATGCAAGTTCGTTTTTATACGTCCTATTCATTGTCTCAATGCGCTCATACATCTTAAGAAAGTTATCACCAAAAATGTTAAGAATGTTTTTAGAGAACATTATCCTACCTTTCAGAAGAACATTCTGGGAACCAAAATAAAACGTCCCGCTGAAAACGTTTTAAGAACAGTAGGGCATAATGTTCTAACAGTGTTATCAAAAATATCTTAAGAAGGTTATCAAAAACAGCTTAAGAAGGTTATCACCAAGCATTTCCAGAATGTTTTTAGAGAACGTTATCCTACCTTTCAGAAGAGCATTCTGGGAACCAAAATAAAACGCCCCGCTGAAAACATTCCTAGAACAACGAATTCTCAGAATTGTTTGTGAACCAAAAATGTCTAGCTGGGAACTCACACATGCCACCGCAAACATGCAATATCTGCTTACAGCTTATCATGAATTACGTGCTTGTTGGTTTTTTTTTTTTTTTAAAAGGAAAATGTGGTGACATCAACATTTTTAAAACATCCTTTTCAAACAAATGCAACAAGTTTTTTTTTAAAAAGCGCTCTAGAAATAAATCTGACGTGGACCATGAACGTGTTAATATTTGCCATCACAGGAACGTTTTATAAACAAAGAATAACATCCTGAAAACATTTTCAGAATGTTGCATTGAAAATGTTCTTCGTTTGTTATCATGTAACATTGAGGGAACGTTTTATAAAGAACATCTTTAATGTGTTACCCAACAACGTCCAAAACACATCCTTAGAATGTTGCAAGGAAAACGTTCCACCTTTGTTAACATATCACATTAAAGGAACGTTTTATAAATAAACTTTCTGTCATCTCAGGCCTCAATAACATCCTGAAAACATCCTCTAAATGTTGCAGTTAAAACGTTATGTCTTAGTTAACCTTAAACCTTATAGGAACATTATTGGAAAAAATAAACATCCTAAAAAGTTTCTTTAAAACATTATTAGAACCTGTAGCTAACGTTAGCCAAAGTTGTGAGAACGTTCCCCGCTAGCTCGGGAGCCTCATATTGCGGAGGGGGCCTCTACTGAAGCGCAAATTCGCCGCAATTAAGCGCGCTCGCAGTTCACGCATGCTCCACTAGCAGCAAACACCCATCCCCCGTCGACGTTCGCGACACAGAGGGCCTTGTCACATAACTTTGCATGGGGCCACAAGTTGGCTAATGTTTCGCAGGAAGATATTTAAAAGCCTCATTTAGTCACTTCTTAGAGACCGCCGTTTGTATGAAACACAGAAGCTTAAGACATTCACAAGTGGGTATTTGCTGAGTGATTTTATGTCATTAAACTAATAGTTGCCACAGGCAATAAGACTGTTAAACACCTGAACTGTTGAAACAACATCCACAATATTCATCTGGCTGCTACTTAACAATTATTTATCTATTTACCTAATATATCATATTTCAATGACTTGCATAGACTCTTATTGCATTATTTCACGTTTTTTTCTTCTTGTATTTACTATTTACTTGCACTATATTTTTCTGTTTATCTGTGTTTTGTGTTGCTGTTGGAGAAGCCTGTGACACAAGATTTTCATCGACAAAACTACACTGTAGCTATGTTCGTTTGACAAATAAAGAACCTTGAACCTTGAGTTTAAATCTCTTCATCTTGCATTAACCACAGTCCTAATTTTAAGCTTAAATACAAATATTTGAGACAAGAAACTGCAAGAGATAAAATGCTGACTCATTCCGGGTAAGGACTCATTCATGCACTCTTTTCAGTGTTATTTACGGTATACACTCGTTATATTATGTATTAATTTCCATAAAGGTTAAGTACTAGTAAGCTTTATCTGGCTGTCCCATTCAGGCCCCCACCCCGCTGTATGTACTAAGTAGATAAGAGCGTGTGATAATATTACATTTGTCAGTAACGGAGTAATGTAACGCGATACTGTTATAAATTCAGTAATCACAAAGTTACTAACTTTGCGCGAAACGCCACACGACAGTAAATAATAAACATTTATTACTAGTTTAGCTAGTTCCAGGGGTAGATAAGATTGGTAAATGTGATAGGTCTAACTTTTAACATGTTAAATATTTCAAGTCACTAGAGGGATTTCCGCCGCAGGTTTATATTTTCGTAACATTTGCGCGACTTGTCCACATGCAGCTGTCACAGGGGTTGAGCTGCAGACTGAGACATCAACAGCTAAAACTTTCGAGGGGTGGAGGTATGCCCATTATTTTTTATTTGTCAGAAGAAAGGACAGGAATGTGACGGTAACTGCTGCAAACACAACTACATCAAACCTCTCCAAGCACCTGCAGAGGCAACATGCTAACACGAAGCTAGTAGCTAAAGACCCCCGAACCCAGAGTGATGATGTTGAGTGTGTGCCGACTCCGAACAAGCAGCAAAAACTAGAATTGTCACCGTTATTAACTTGTGTTATGTCTTCCTTATTACAATAGTAATTGTTATATGTGTGCACATGTAGGCCTACGTTTTAAGTTTTGGCTATAGGCTGTTGCTGAGTAACGCAAAAGTAATGTAAAGTAACGAGTAAAGTAAGGAGTAAAGTAAGGAGTTACTTTATGTAGAGAGTAACAAAGTAAAGTCATATATTACTTTTTTTGAGTAACGACCCCATCTCTGGTCATCACTGTGTAAGTATCTTAGGACATCTGCCTAAAAAGTGTAATCTTTATGATGATGACGTTATCAGTGTGTACATTATAAAGACTAAATGATCTGGAAATTATCTAATTGTAATTAATGATAATTCAGTTGCGATAAAAATCAGATGATGATTTCTCCATAATTGTTTCCATCAAAGGTCTGTAGAATGTGTAGAACTACAGTATTTAATTCAGACTGACATTTTGCATCTGTAATGACTTTTGTGCTCACCAGTCCTGACTGGAGGTCCTATTTCTGGAACGTACCGTTTGAAGCAGTTTCATTTCCACTGGGGAGCGAGTAATGACAGAGGCTCCGAACACACCGTCAACGGCATCAAGTTCCCCTGTGAGGTACTGAAGGAGCTGCTGCTTTACTAACCCTGCAGGAACAGGGCCTGAACAGCCTGTGGTCTGTGATGGTGGAACTGTCCTGTCTTTGGCAAGAGGAATCAGTAAACATTTAAGAGTAACACTGTTCTTAATGGTTCTTTTTGAGAACACACAATGGGCATTACTTCTGTAATTGTTTAAGAAATAACTGGGGGTGACTGGAGTTTACATTACTCAATACAAAAACACATTGGGTATTAAATGTATGGATTCCAGTGTCTTTAGTTCCAATATATTCAAATTAGGTTATTTTTAGAATCTATAGTGCCACAGTGACGCATCCTAAAACCCGGAAGTAAGCTGCGCATGGGTTCCTTCGACAAAAAAGCAATACGATCGATCATAAATCTATCGATTAGAAATCTATCGATCATAAATCTATCGATTAGATTTATGATTCAAAAATTACAAAAGTAGGGTAGACATGTGGATATTATCCGGCTGAACAAAACGTGATCCGTCTCTTAAATGTGTGTCAACCACAGACCTTATTTCCAGCTATTTTCCAAAATCCTATGGAGAAATTGCATTGGTTTTTTATCGAAGGAACCGGAAGAAGCTTACTTCCATGTTTTAGGATGCGTCACTGTGGCACTCTATTAAGAAATAAATGAACTAGATGGATCGTTTCCATAAGTGAACAGTAATTCATATATCTGACCTGGGACGCCGTCTGCTTCAAAACGTAATGGGTTCTTTCTTGGCCCATGCCATACTATTCCACCAAGTGTCATAAAAATCAGACTGGTGGTTTATCTCTAATGATAAAGAAAATGGTATATTTATATTTGTCAGATACATCTGACATTATCACAGATGTGCTTCAAATTCTGGCTGAAACATTTTGCATTGGTCGTCTTTTTAGAGATCTGTCTTATTATTTGTAAAATATCCACGTTATTGCACATGTTACAGTATATTTTGGACAAGATGACACTTTCTGTAGCCTGGGTCTTAAAATGTGCCTCTTTCCCTGTTAGCTTCACCTGGTGCACTGGAACACTAAGTACCCCAGCTTTGGAGAGGCAGCCAGCCAGCCTGATGGCCTTGCAGTGGTGGGGGTCTTCCTCAAGGTGAGTCATCAGTGACTCATCCCTGACAAGCTCTCAGTCTGACTGCACTGGAGGCAGGGAGTGGGGGGTAGCTTTAAGTATTCATGCCCTTCACAGGACGGTGTAAGTTTACTGTAAATGTAACTGTGTTTGTCTCTGTCGTTCAGATCGGTGCCGCCAACCCCCGGCTTCAGAAGGTTCTGGATGCCTTTGACAGCATTATGACCAAGGTAAAAATCAGTGGTGGGGGGTAAAAACGCTGGAGAAGCTTAGCCTTCCATAAATGATTGGTGGATTTACTACTGTGCTTACCAATGTTTCCTAAAAGTCATACATGCTACTGCTACGATACATTCTGATAAGCCACTCGAAATATGAGGTTATATAAGGTTTTTATCGTCAACAAATACATTTAACTGTGCAATACATACTTCTACTTTCACTCCGGTTACCTGGCTGCTATAGCATATTACTTAACATGGAGGCGTGTGGCGCAGTGGTTTAGTGGGTTGGTGTTGGGATCAGGGGAGCACAGGTTCAATCCCCACTGCAGTCAGCATGTCGTTGTGTCCCTGAGACACTTCACCCCCAAAGTGCTCCTGTGGGGGTTGCCCACAGTATTGAGTATGTAAGTCGCTTTGGATAAAAGCGTCTAACAAGTGACATGTTATGTTATGAAATGTAAAACACTTTAAAAAATACTGCTATTGGTTTTTAATGTTGTCTGCCTGGATGTGTACGTTGTAATTTGTAAATTGTGTAATTTCTATTATTATCTTTAATATTGTATGCATGTCTCTGAGTCAATATTTTACTCTTTCTGGCTCTTTACTTTCTCTGTAACAATGTACATTTCCCCTCTGTTGTACGAATAATGGTATTCTGATACTGATTAATAATCCGATAACTATTAAGAACTTCACTATCAGAGCACTAACTATGATTGACTGTCAGAACAAGCAGAGTGAGGCTCGTACAAACTGCTACAAACTCAACGTACACTTCCGGCAAGAAGATGTATTACATGATGTATATCACAGATTGTATACATACATCTTTTTGCACAGTAACGGATGCTGTCTCTGCATTAGCATTGTTTTAGCTCACAGCAACAGTATTTCATAAATCTTCTTTTTCCAATAAACATAGTGTATGAATTTCATTTTTCATTTTCATTTGTAATGTCATGTTTCAATTTCAATGTATTTGCATTGTTTTTGTGAAGCGCTAAATCATTTGGTAGCACATTAGCCCGGCATCGTTGAGTCTCGTATTTATCTACCCTTGTAAGCTACCATATTATTATTATTAGCATCAAAATGAATGTGTACACCTGGTATAAACATTCTAGCTAGTTATTGTGTTTCAGTAGGTCTATGATATGCTGTAAAACATAATCATGTCTTCTGTGGTGTTCATGTATGAAAGTTGGTCAAATATTAGCTTTCCGTATCCTGAGCCTCACAGGCCGCCTACGTTAAAAACACACAAATCCATGCAAATACCAAAACATATTTCCTGAAGACAAATGAGCTTATTCTGTCAATGAAACACATTTTAAATTATTGGAAGACCTACAATTGTAATGGTTAACAATGAGTGACAACTGCTTCCCTTCCTTTCCTAACCCCCTCTTCCCTGTTCCTCCGCCGTCACACCTGCAGGGGAAGCAGACCGTCTTTGCTAACTTCGACCCAAAGACCCTCCTGCCTGGTTCTCTGGACTTCTGGACCTATGACGGCTCTCTGACCACGCCCCCTCTGTTGGAGAGCGTCAGCTGGATCGTCCTCAAGGAGCCAATCAGTGTCAGCCCGGTACAGGTGCGTACTCACTCTCTACTTACATTAGATTTTAAATGAGTACTTCCTGTTTAATACACATTTCAGAGTTGATAACCTTGATTATGACTTACTGTGAATGTCTGTCCTGTGTGTCCTGTGTAAAAGCCACATAAACAGTGAAACACAATGATTCTGCTCTGATCTGCCAACAAGTGGATACTTTTACCCTACTGTATATACCTTGATATAACAACTGTATACAAAAAACTGAGAATGTAACATCCAGATATTTGGACATGAACAGTGCTGTTTTTAACGTTGTTGGAAAAAAATGCCTACATAGGGTTACAAAACTGCTGCTATACAATCTCTGTTCTTGAATTGCAGAATAATTATAGCTTGTTGTTTTAGTATTCAAATACATGTAATATTGAACTTGAAGTTTGAGAGCCAAACAACTAAAGTGAAGCCACATCTGGATTGCAGACTAAATATAATTTAAATATAGCTAGGAAGGTCATAGGGTGTTTCAGTGCACATATGCACATGTGTGTAAGTATGTGCACAAAATAGCTTTGTGGCAGTTCTTAAATACAGACATTTGTCTTGAAAGTCCACATACTAGATGCGGGTTGGACATGCTGCTTTTATATTATGTAGTCTGGTGAGGATCCTGCTGAACTATCCAGTAGAAGTTTAAAGTGTTTCACTAAAAATTAGAAAATGCAAGGCGTGAGGTGTTAAGCTTCAGGAAGTCTGAAAAAAACAAACGAATATCCAATAAATAACTGCCGAATCAACATAGCTGGCTATTTCATCATAACTATATTTTATCTTAAAATACCCTCTAGATCAGGGGTTTCCAAGGGGGGTCGCGAGACCCCGAGTGGGGGTCGCGATGATTAGAAAATAAAAAATAAATGTTTTTATTATTAATAATAACGTGTGCTGTGCATAGACATTTTTCAGGGGCAGACTAGCCATCTGTATAATTTCCCCGCAGCGAGGCTCCCCCTTTGACAATCCACTAGCGCAGTGTTTCTCAAACTTTTTCATACCAAGGACACTTAACCAATAAAAACACACTCACGAACCACCTGACTGCACACATATACAAAAACAATAGGCCTGCTTACCACTCCAACAGTAGGCTATATAACAAATTACAGCCTAATAATGACAGCTTAACCTTCTCTACATCGCCTCGTTCACACATTAAATCAACAATACAAATTCAACTACAGATTATATAAGCATTTAGTTCAAATGCGATTTAAAATGCTCTCAGGTTGTACACCTCTTATGAAATGTAGACTACATTTATTACGGAGTTTATGTCCAACAGACTCACAGATCGTTGGCTACTGAGAGATATGCAAAACACACCGCATAGTACGACACAAACCTCCGCTGTGGATTTTCAAAAGCAAATACAGTAAAACTATGGTCGCAGGCCCAAGTTTAACTCTCTGAGGCCTGCATGGTCTGCAGCCCCAACAACAGCCTCTGATCATCAACAGGCTTCATGCAATGCTTCATCGGTTGCATGCATTAGATAATCATCTCTATCTCACTCCTAACATCTAAATCTACTTTCAGCATGGATACATGTTCATAAAATACATCCATTGTTTGTTCTATATGCTTCTTGGAATCCTAAAAAACACATCGTCTTCTAGAACAGATTACAAATCGCCTGAAAATGGTACAAACAAGTGGCAACATGTTTGACGAAGGTGTTGCGCTGGGCTATATCATGCAATCGAAAGTGAAACTTAAGCTCGCTCCATTGCGGAGATATTCCCGCAATATATATTGATATCCCCCCCCCGTTGACTCTGGCTCTGGTTATTTTTGAAAAGTTTGGGAACCCCTGCTCTAGATCCTCTTTAATGATGTGTTCGTGCAAGCTTTAAGGAGGCTGGATGTTGGTTTAAACATTGCCAACGTCAAGAGGGTCAGAAGTCATATCATGCTTTAGAGCAGGGTGTGTCTGAGCCCTGAAGACCTTGTGTTTCACTCAGATTACACTGACAGCCTGTATCTGCAGACTGCACTCTCTACATATTGAACACTGCCAACCTGTACCTTCATGTGACATACCGTAGGCTTTTCCTAAATGTTTAACACTGTTTGACTACCCTAACAGATATACATCAGCTTTAAGAAGTGAGTAATGTTTTTAATGTAGGAATAAATATGTTGATACACAAGTACTGTACAGTTTAACGCTTACTTTGTTATGGTGAAGAAGTGCAGCATTGCAGATTGAGCCTGCTGAGGCAGAGAAATCCTCCTAAAGCTCACCAGCTAGCTAAAGGCTAAATGGCTCCCAAAGGAAATGTTGTTTACTGCAGGCCTGCTGCTTCAGTTTTTTCCACACACCCACACACACACAACACACACACACACACACACACACCAACACACACACAAACACACACACACACACACACACACACACACACACACACACACACACACACACACACCACACACACACACACACACACACACACACACACACACACACACACACACACACACACACACACACACACACACACACACGCACACATAGAGTAGCTAATCATTTTACAGTTTTGAAAAAAAATTCAGGTGTAATAACTTTGTCGGGAGAGTCGGAATGACTCTCCCAACAATGAATTAAGGGGGGTGGGGGGTACAATTCACATGTGTCTTCACTTGGTTAGTGTTTAGATTTACTTTGTTTTGTAGTGAAATAAGCCTGTTTTAATTGTTGGACAATTACCTTATACTTCATAATGCTACAACTGTACATGTTTGTGTATGGGACTACTTTCAGGGTCAGCAGGGTGGTGTTTTGCACCACCATGTGCACATGGGAGATAACAGCAGAGCAGCATTAAGGGGTTTGGGGGTGGCTCTATACACCACTTAGATAAAAGATATACAGGAAGAAGTGAAGCAGCTGATTGCATTAGATACTGCATTGCTTGTAGTTTAACACGATCCAGGTAATGTGTCCTTCCGCCCTAGGGCATGTGCAGTAATAGCACCTAATGCTCACCTGTTTTCTCCAACGTACATCAAAGTGCACCTTGATTTGGCCAACTGAGGATTCAAGAGCTAATGAGAACGTTTCATCACTCATGTTCCTAGGAAACACATGCTCTGTGTCTGTTTGTTTTTTTAACTGCAGACATCATGACTAGGTTTTAGATAGAGGCGAAACGAAAGAGAGACATGGAAGATAACTACACAACAATAAGACGCACACGCAGGACTGAGGCGTTCATCCTCAGATAAGGTTAAATAGAGTACGGTCTGCTGTAAGAATGCATACAGTATGTGCGGGAAGTTTGCCCACCAAATCAGAAATAGTTGAATTAGAAGGAATACTTTCTGTCGTGACTCTCTTGGCTAACTAACCGTGTGGACATTTTCTTATGGCTCTTCCCCTAAATAACCTTAAATATGTTAATATTCCAATGAACCAAAACAGAGGTTCCAAAGGCTTAGTTGGTGAAGACAGAGATTCAAACCCCAGTAGAAGCCCTCTCCTGGACCTGTTACTGCAGGTGACAGGTGACGTGGATATTGACCTGTTTTTCCTGGCTCTTTCTGGAGGTGTTGGCCTGTCTGAAACCAAAGAGTTTTTTTGAATCTGTGCAAGTCATGGATTCTTCATAACAAACACCATTTCAAGCATTGGGTACTTATCCAGTATTAGAAAACCTTATGGAGCATGGAGTCATGTGATCATTGGTGTGGTCACTTTGTTAAAGGTCCCATGTCATGGCCATTTCTACTGATCATAATTCCATTGTTGAGGTCTACTAGAATAGATGTACATTGTTCAATGTTCCAAACTCTCATTGGTTTCTCAAACAGCATCTCTGTATAGTAGCCTATGTGTATTCACTCTGTCCTAAACGGCTTGTTGGAACTCCTGCCCCCCCCCCTCCCCCTCCCCCTCCCTGTGAGCCCACTGTGCTCTGATTGGTCAGCTCGCCCACTCTGTTCTGATGAGTCCACCACCGGCACAGCAGAACATCAGTGATTATGTTTTACAATGGCGTTTGTTAGCAACCAGAAAATGACACCAGTAATGACAAACAGATGAGAATGCTGCGTGAGGTCTGGGTGCCGTGTTGGCGGGACGTTGCGCGGCTCGCTGCTGCTGGAGCGGACAGTGTGAGCTGGTTTCCTGGTTGCTGCGTGGGGTCTGCGGGACAGCGAGACAGCGAGACATCGCGAAACTCAGCCTGAGCACACACATACAGCCTGGCTGTGAGTTTGCCAAACGTTAGATTTTTACTTCAGCCGACTGCAGTTATGCTTCAAAAATCATAAACTAGTGTGGATATGTGGAGATTATCCTGCTGAACAGAATATTTATGTTTCATGGACATGTGTCTGCCATAAAGCCTATTTTCCACTTTACCTCACCACTTTATTGTAGTGGAGCAGTAAAGATCTCAGATGCTCTATTTCCGCTCACAATTAATAATTTTTTGGCTCTTGTCTGGCTGTCCCAGATCGGATGACATTTTCATATTGTTGATTTTTGTTGTTGGGCGTTTCTTTTGTATGTCTCAAAGAAACATTAAAAATAGTAAACAGTGTATACAATCTATATTACACCAACATAGTGTGGTGGGTACGTGTCCAGGACACAGGTTAATTGATTTAAACACAGTGTCTCTCCTTCTTCATCAGATGGCCAGGTTCCGCGGCCTCTTCTTCACCGGAGAAGGAGAGGCTCCATGCTGCATGGTGGACAACTACCGCCCCCCCCCAGCCTCTGAAGGGCCGTCAGGTCCGCGCCTCCTTCAAATAAACAGCGCTTCATCTTCATTGCTTCCTCCTTCCCTCCTTACACAAACCTTCATTCTCCTATTATATCCACATGCAGCCAGCTTAAGCCTTAAGGAAATGAACTTGAAATAAATCTGCTTAAAGTTTCAATAATATAGACTTACTGTACTGGATATATCTTGAACAAAATAACAGATTTTTGAGCTTTGACACTATAAAGACACAAGACATATTTACGCATATCATATCAAAAGTCCAGATGATATTTAAGATATTTTAATTTACATTGAGCCACGGATATGGATGTGTGAAGTTTAAATTGGGTCATACGTTGTGCCCTCATGGAATAAAAATACATATTAATAATAATAATAATACATGAGACTTGTATAGCGCTTTTCAGGAAACTCAAAGACGCTTATATTGTCCCCTTGGTCAGACACTGCCTTAATACAGACAAAGGTGGCCTAATATTTTAAGTCTTTATAGGCTAACAGAGGGACCCGAGATCTCCTGAAATTGTCACAAAGAGAGACAGGATTTCTGGCTCCTAATCTCATAATTAATTATAATTTAAAATATTAGTGTCTATTGATGTGTGCCAATATAATATGCTTTTTCTTTCACAAAATATACTCAAAATAGAAGCCAATATACTCTAAAACTTCATTAATACAATAAAAAATAAAAAAAAGTATATTATTTTTTGTTAGCAGCATTGCACTGAAGGAAAAAGATATACAGAAGATTTTTCGGTATACTATTACTATATGTAAACCCACACCTAGCCTATCTACGGTGAATGTAGCATAAAGGACATGCTGTGATGTTTGTCAGGTATAACAACAAAGATGTCTCCATGCTTTTTAATACAAAAACTGCTTTGAAAATGAAAGCATTTATAAATGTTCTGATGTAGATTGTGAAATTTAAAGTTTGTATTGATGCCTCAGTTTGAAAAGAAGTGATCCTGAGTTTGGGTGTAACCATACAGTCTATGGGTGTAACATCCTGCAGTCTGGCCACCTCTGATAAACCAGCCCTTCTACACATGTAGGTTTTTATTTACACTGAAAAAACTGAAATGTATGTCAACACATTTCACATAACTATATTAGGATGGTTGAAAGCAATACTATTAAGTTGAATCTAATAATGTATATTTAAAGGTCCCATGTCATGGCCATTTCTACTGATCATAATTCCATTGTTGAGGTCTACTAGAATAGATTTATACTGAGCAATTTTCCAAACTCACATTGGTTTCTCAAACAGCATCTCTGTATAGTATGTGTATTCACCGGTTTTCACTCTCTGTCCTAAACGGCTTGTTGGAGCTATGCTAATAAGAGTGGCTTGATATTGAGTAAAAAAAAGGTTTATAAAGCTGTGAGAATGGGTCTGGAGAGCATTTCTCTGCGATCCCAACGTAGTCCGAAAAACGTTTACCCATTTAAACAGTCGTGGTAGATACCTTGTTTGTTTTAAACATCATAAATACACAAACAACAATTAATACTTACAGGTTGTGTACCCGAATCTCCCGCTGGTCCAAACAAAGCAGGAGCAGTGTGTGTGTGTGTGTGTGTGTGTGTGTGTGTGTGTGTGTGTGTGTGTGTGTGTGTGTGTGTGTGGTGTGTGTGTGTGTGTGTGTGTGTATGTGTGTGTGTGTGTGTGTGTGTGTGTGTGTTGCATGTAGCAGCCGCATGTGTGCAAACTGCCTCGCACACAGACGGGGAGAGAGAGATCTCTCGTCTGGATTGGAAAGATCGAAAATACTAAAAATAATCATAGATGCATTTTTGTAGTCTTTTTGCATATTAGATAACGGAGTTGACGACACCAAAACTGCAATATAATGTTTGTGTAGCATAATAAATATGACACATCGTTCTTCAGTGCCCTACAGTACGTTGTATATAATATATCTGGCATGAATCGCTGAAAGGTTTGGGAAGCTTTGTTTCGTGAAAGGCTGGCAGAGGGTGCGGCCATAGCTCTGGGCGTGGCTACTGGGTATCCCTACGTAGCAATACCCAGGAAGTAAATGAGAAATCTCCAACGAGGCGTTTTGGGGAGGTATTTTCTGTGTTAGAGTTTTGCTCGCTACAGAGTGTACTTTGAGGGGACGGGTAATAACCGGAAAAGCATGACATGGGACCTTTTAATTTAATTTTTGCTTTCAACTAAACTAATACAGTTATGTGAAATCTGTTGACAGTTGTGTACTAACAGTATGATCATCTCATGATGGTAATACTATGCAAAGCTCCAGTATGTTGTTTGACAGTCAAACCTAGAATTGGCCGATGGTACTTGTACGCACTAATGAATGTAAAAGAAAATGGTATCCAATCATTTTGGTTGATGTCTCTCCATTTTGTATTAATACTATGCCAACTGAACTACCACTGTGCATTAAACATTGCTTAATGTAAGAGCTGTTGAGTTGGAACGAATTGAAAGGATTAATTCATGACTATGCATTACAGTGTCAACATAAAATGTGTCGTATAATTTTTCAGAATGTCTATCTTCATTAATCCTTTAACTTGAACTTAGAGAGATCTGCGCAATGACAATGAGTGTGGCTAGTGGAACCTTTAAAGTGAGTCACCTAAAAACCGCTGTCCCATTACAGATGAAGGAATGTGTTTCAGTCAATCTATCATAATGGAAAAGAATGTTCAATAAAAACGAATAACTTGCAGATATCTCTAGTTGTCCTTCTTTCTCACAACTCCTAGTCACTATAAGTATTGGGGAATCTTATGTGTGTTTTGATGTTTGTGCTGGAGCCGCTTTATCCAAAACAGCACTCCGGTTAGAGAGTTGACACGGAGACAGGAAGTACAGTCGTTGGACTTTATATTAGCTTGGTTCTGATCATCAACACAGAATACATCATGTTTGATGTGGAATCACATACAGGATGTCGAATGGGTTTGATGAGGATGATGATAATGAAAATGAATGAATGCATTGCAGAGTAGAGATGAATGAATGTAGAGTAGAGATGAATGAATGGTTTCTGCAAAATACACAGAAATAGAAATAAGGTTCACATTACAATACCTAAACCATCCATCCATCCATCTTCTCCCGCTTATCCGTGGTCGGGTCGCGGGGGTAGCAGTTCCAGCAGAGAGCCCCAAACTTTCTTTTCCCTGGCGACATCAACCAGCTCTGACTGGGGGATCCCAAGGCGCTCCCAGGCCAGCGAAGAGATATAATCCCTCCACCTGGTCCTAGGTCTACCCCTTGGTCTCTTCCCCAGCTGGACGTGCCTGGAAACACCTCCCTCTAGGGAGGCGCCCAGGTGGCATCCTAACTAGGTGCTACCGAACCACCTCAACTGGCTCCTTTCGACGCGAAGGAGGAGCGGCTCAACTCCGAGTCCCCTCCCATGATGACCGAACTTCTCACCTTATCCCTAAGAGAGACACCACCACCCTGCGGAGGAAAACCCATCTCGGCCGCTTGTATCCGCGATCTCGTTCTTTCTGGTTTATTAATAATAAGCAACAGCAATACTAATTGTTGCTAAAACACATTAGACACGTTGCAAACACACACATGGCTAGTAAAGGCTAAGTTAGCATCTCATCCACACACTATCACTGAATAGCTTAACTTAGCTAACTAGCTAGCATTAGCTCAATTTCTGAACAACATAGCAGCTAAAAACGGGACATCAATAGACTCATTAACACACTGACTCAGCAGGACACTATGCATACAATCTTATAAGTTAACACTAAAGATCTGCATATATGCTCACATTCTTCACGAACACATTCTCTCTGTGACGATGGTAATTATAAATGTGACCACAATAATGTCCTGTCATGAACGCACATGTGTAAACAGCTCTACTTTAGCTGTCCCTAATTGTGCCTGACTAAAACACGAACGATATAATGCAGATCAAGGAAAACAAGGGGAATATACAACAGCCGCCCCCAGAATAGCATAGCTATTATGTAAAACAGAATACATTCCCTAAGGTGCAGCAGAAGTCCCGGCGTGCACAAGGCGTGCCACGGGTCGCAGGTACGTCTTGTCCCCGACTTGAACCTCAGCCGACGGGATGCATCCATCAGCACTGGCATTCAGCTTCACGACCTTCCCCACTGGCCAGTAGAGATGTTAAGATTCACCGATTCACATCGGTGCACATCGGCATAAACGTTCAAAATGCGAGTGCACCGGTTGAAAGAGTGCACATCGGCAACAGTTTGGGTTGAACTCGTGATGCATCGATTGCGTAGCGTCCCCCCCCCCCCCCCCCCCCCCCCCCCCCCCCCCCCCCCCCCCCCCATCTATGTATATACTCGCATTTTAGACTCTGTTACTAACTGTATATCTGTAGACTTGGTATGTCTTAAATGTCCGGTTAGGATGTATTAGAACGAAATCTAAAATGAAAATTGTAAACAAGCAATCTGTATGTAAAAAAACCACCTGTATGTAAATTGTAAATAAGCCATCTGTATGTCAAATATGTCTTATATGTCTTAAATGACATGATGAATTGGAAATGGGGGACCCTGATGTAAACAAGACGAAAGTCTTTCTCTGGTCTGCATCCCCTTAACAATTGTATGTTTTGAGCTGTACTGTACTGTACCCAATATACAAGCTGTTAATAAACTTTTCAATCAATCAATCAATCTTTGCATCGGTAAAAAAACAATTCATTCATATAATATCTCCTCATCCTGTCAGCACTCAGCAGAGACGATCTTTGATATTTGCTTCGCACTACGGAGGCCGGGTGTCTCAGTTATCAACACACACGGAAGTCGAGGAGAAAGAGAAACACAGTGCACCGAAAAATACCTTCAAATCAAACGTCTGGCAACACTTTGGATTTTTCAAGAAAGACGGTCAACTTGAAAAATCGCTCGCAAATTGTAAACGATGCCGAGCCGCTTTAAAGTACACAAGTAGTACGAGGAACTCAGCGACGCACATAAAGAGGCGACATGGGGTCTGCGGCTGAAAAGAGAAACCTGAAAGTTAGACATATGAGTGAAATCACTCAGAGAGGTGTTCTGTCAGAGAGAGTGGTGTTTAGTTTACAGCAGCCTGTGACGGCCAATAATAATGTAAATGTATTCCTCACTGTAAGCAGTTATGAAAGAGCTGTTTGTGAAAGGTTATTTGTATTCTTTATTGTTCATATAGAACCCACCGCTTTCTGCTCACTGGTGAGTTAGCCTATGAATGAGTGTTAAGCACATCAGGCTGGCAGCTGTATGGGCATTGCTCTATGGTAGCTGTTATTTGCACATTGTTAATCATGAGCAATGCATCCTTAAATTGTTTAACTGTGAGGTGTTATACATTGTTATAACATTGTACTGTACTCTGGAGAGTTTTTTAAGGTAAAAAAGAAACAGCATGATGGGGTGCGCAGTACTAGTAGAGAGAACCAAATATGTAAAGCACTTTTTTGATAATTTATGATTTGCTGCATATAAGGAATAAAACAAAAATCCTCTGTCGTACCATATTGAAGTGTCATTATTTTGCATCGTGTTGAATCGTATCGTATCGCCCCGAATCGCATAATGTTGAATCAAATCGTATCGAACTGTATCACAACAGGGGTGAATCGTATCGTATCGCCTGGTGTTTCAAATGTATCGTTAATGTATCATATCGTGGCAACGTATCGAGATGCGCATTGCATCGGCCTCAGTGATGGAGATGCACATCCCTAC